GTATTAGTGTCATAATGTCATTAGATTTTTTATTTATTTATTTATTTTTTTTTTTGAGACAGAGGTTCCCTCCTTCGCCCTGTTCAATTTTTCTATATATATATATATATATGTTTTTATAATAATAAATTTCTATTTTTAGTAGAGACGGGGTCTCGCTGTTGCTCAGGCCGGCCTCCAACTCCCGACCTCCAGCGATCCTCCTGCCTCGGCCTCCCTCCCGAGTAGCTGGGGCTACGGGCATGCGCCACCACGCCCGGCTCGTTTTTTCTATATATATTAGTTGGCCAATTAATTTCTTTCTATTTCTATTAGAGACGGGGTCTCGCTCTTGCCCAGCTTGGTTTCCAACTCCTGACCTCCAGCGATCCTCCCGCCTCGGCCTCCCTCCCGGGTAGCTGGGACTACAGGCGTGCGCCACCACGCCCGGGTAATATTTTCTCTCTATATATATTTTTAGTCGTGCAGCTCGTTTCTTTCTACATTTTTTTTTTTTTAGTAGCGACGGGGTCTCGCTCTTGCCTAGGCCGGCCTCCAACTCCCGACCTCCAAAACGATCCTCCCGCCTCGGCCTCCCTCCCGCGTGGCCACGCGCCACCACGCCCTGCTCATTGCTTCTCTCTCTATATATATTTTTAGTTTCCCAGCTAACTGCTTTCTATTTACAATAGAGACAGGGTGTGGGGGCGTCTCCCTCTTGCTCATCAGGCCGGCCTCCAACTCCCGACCTCGAGAGCGAGCCGATCCTCCCTCCCCGGCCTCCCGGAGTGCCGGGGACCCGACGCCCGGAATCTTGTCTTCTTTCCCGCACTCGCTGCACGCCCCGGAGGGCAGCTGAGCTCAGCACAGAGAGTGGCAGAGGCCGGAAAGCTACGCGGCCCGGCCTCCCCTCCGGGCCTCCCCGCCACGGCGATGGCCCCGGGGGGGGACAAACGGACCCGGACCTACCTTCCTGGATGCTGTTCTGCAGGTGGTTCACGATGGCGGCCAGGATGGTCGACAGGCTCATGACTTGGGCGCACTGGGCCAGGCCCAGCGTGAACAGCTCGTTCCAGCAGGCCCGGACCAGGCTGGTGTTGCAGTCCTGCCTGGGGACACGGCGGGCGGGCGGGCGGCCGGGTGAGGGGCGGCCCCCACGCCCCACGGACGGACGGACGGACGGACGGACGGACGGACGGCGGACCCCGAGCCCCGGCCCTCCCCGGACGGGGGGACCCCGCGAGTCCCCCCGAGAGTCCTCGCTTCGGTCCCCCCGAGCGTGGTAAATTCGGCCATTTAAAGACATTTCCTTAAGATCCTCGAGCGGGGCCCACGCTTCTGTGAATGTTTTTGGGGGGACGAGAGTCTCGCTCTGTCGCCCGGGGCCGGAGTGAGCGCCGTGGCGTCGGCCTCGCTCACAGCAGCCTCCGAGTCCTGGCCTCGAGCGAGCCTCCCGCCTCGGCCTCCCTCCCGAGTAGCTGGGACGACAGGCGTGCGCCTCCACGCCCGGCTCATTTTTTTTTTTTATATATTTAGGTGTTTGGCTGATTTCTTTCAATTTTCTTTTTTGAGGGAGAGTCTCACTCTGTCGCCTGGCTTAGACTGCCGTGGCGTCAGCCTCGCTCACAGCAGCCTCCAACTCCTGGCCTCCAGCGATCCTCCTGCCTCGGCCTCCCTCCCGAGCAGCTGGGACGACAGGCGTGCGCCACCACGCCCGGCTCGTTTTTTCTCTATATATTTTTAGTTGCCCAATTAATTTCTTTGTATTTTCACTAGAGACGGGGTCTCGCTCTTGCCCAGGCCGGCCTCCAACTCCTGACCTCGAGCGATCCTCCCGCCTCGGCCTCCCAGAGTGCTGGGATGACAGGCGTGAGCCACCGCGTCTGGCTAATTTTTTCTATATATATTTTTAATTGTCCAATTAATTTGTTTTTTTTTTTGTTTTTTTTTTTTTAGTAGAGAAAAGGTGTCTCGCGTCTGTTGCTCAGGCTGCCTCGAATCGCTGACCTCAAGCAGTCCTCCCGCTCAGCCTGCCTCGCAAGTAGCTGGGAGCTAACAAGGCATTTGCGCCACCACGCGCCGGCTCGCATGTTCTGTCTATATATTTAGTGTAAGTATGAAACATATATCATGTTGTGATGTGAGGTTAAATTAATATCATTCGTTGGCTGATTATGATATATTCGTTTCGTATCTTGCATTACGCGAGCGGGAGGGTCTGCGCTGCTTGCTCAGGCCGTGCCTCGCGCAAACTCCCGCCATGCCGATCGCCGTCGATCGATCCTCCCGCGTCACCTCGCCTCCCGAGGTAGCTGGGGAATCAGGCGTGTGCGCACACGGCCCGGCTGGTTTTTTATATAATTAGTTACTCCTGATATTAGTTGGCCAATTAATTTTTTCGTAGTATTTATAGTAGACACGGGGTCTCGTCTTGCTCACGAAGGCTGGCTCCACCTCCGCCTCAGCAGCTGATGCCTCCCCCTCAAGCCCTCCTTCCCAGAGGTGCAAGGATGACAGTTTTTCTATATATTTTTAGTTGTCCAGCTCATTTCGCTTTATATTTATAAGTAGAGGACGGGGATGTCTCGCTCTATGTCAGAGGCCGGCATCCAACTCACCTCGAGCCATCCTCCCTCGCTCGGGCCTCTCCAGAGACTGGGACGACACAGGCTTGAAGCTCCAGCCCGGCTAGTTTTTTTCTATATGTAGTTTTAGTTTTTCCACTATATCCCCCGCACCGGGGGGGGAACAGGCCCCCGGGCGTTGGGGGCAGCAGCAAGCAGGAGCATGAGGGGAAGAGGCCACGTTGACCCAGGCGCCTGGAAGGCGGGAGTGGAGCGGGCCAGGTGCATGGCAGGAAGAGCAGAGCGCGAGCGGCTCGCAGGTGCGCTCAGAAGAA